ATCAGGAAATCAGAGCCTCCCCAAAATTTACTGAAAATCAAGGAATATTACTCTTAAACAAGCAAATTCTTGATATATAAATGATACCTGGTAAGTATATTATATAACCAGTGCCTCTAATGTCTATTTCTTTGTGCTACTGATCAGATTGGTTGTTCTAAGCATTAAGTTAGATGTATGGGCCTCAGAAAAAACATCTGCTGATGTGAGATAGCTAGTGAGCCACAATGTCACAACTAGGAGGCAGATACTAGGTGGTTTTTTTTATCCTTTAAATATTCTATAACATATTATTATGATGTCAAGTGCTATTTTGCTTCTGAGAGTCTCAGAGTTTACTCAAGTACTACTGTCTGGTCAGTACACTTTTCAAGTTTATTATGCACTGATGTAGAGCAGGTGAAGATAAAGTCTTTCTTCCTTGAGCAAGGTATTTGGCCAATGTCTTTGACAAATTTACCACACGTCAGCCCTTGTACTTTGCATTGGGAATAAAAAGATAATGATGATGGCTTTTCCCTTGGAGAATTTATAATTTATTTAATAAATCAAACTGGAACTTTTTTAAAAGAGATTTTAGCTTCTGGTATGCTAAAATTTACATTTTAATGCAAATAATTCAGAGTATACTATCTATTATTTTAAAAATTCCAAGTCTGAATTCTTAAAAAAAATGAGGAGATATATTTTGTACTATCAGAGGGAGAATCTAGAAGGTTAATAAGGAAAGCAGACACTTCATGGAGGGAAGAACTTCTGACTTGACTCAGTTTCTCCCGCCTGTACGTTTCTCTCCTTCCCCAGGTCATATCCATCCTACCAGTGATGGTTGGTCTGGAGGAGCTGGTCTCTCCATTGGGAGGAAAGTGGAGAATTAATGCCATGGTCTAGGTAATTTATGAAACTCAAGCCAATAATAACTAAGTAAAGGCAAAACAGGTCTCTATCAGTGCAAATCAACTTACAGGATTTCTCATAGAGTTTCATCTACTGAGCTCCAGAAAATGGGTCTCCAATGGGGTATGCTATGGATTACAGAGGTGAGAACAAAGTCTTTGACCTGTAGGGACTTCTAGATACTTATTCAGCTTTTCAGTTCACTTGCCCTCTGTAGATGTGATTTTTAAAAATAGCTACTATTATCATGTATCTCTGGGCAGAGAGAGGCAGCACTAAGTAAAAGGCCTGGTTATTATTCATGTATAGCTAGACTGCCCTGCAAAAGTAGGAGCACAGGAACTATTTATTGAATAAGCAAATGAACAGCTAAGCTACCAATGTGAAGATAAAAAGAGTACTCTAAATTCTATCAGTTTTATACTTGCTCATACCAATTGTTTTCTAGTTTGTTTTCTCTTTGTATCCCCAAAACAACACAGAGTAAGGTAACACTCTATATTATATAGGCCTTCAGAGACCGAGGCCATATATTCAGCAAGTCACAGAGTGAGTGGTGAACCTGTGTGACCCGTACATCCCATGGTTGACCTTTCCAATACGAAAAGTCAAATGGAGTAGGGGCCTGATGCACAGAATATCCAGGGTTGAGGAGGGACGTGGTAAACCAAAGGGAAAGTCCTGCCACTTCTTCCTTTGCAGTGGAAAAGCAATTAAGAAAAGTCGGCATGCTATTGTCAGCTGGAGAGCTGGCAGGTTCTTCAAGAGAAAGGCTGTAAGCAATGTCACAGGCCAGGAAGATGGATGGGCCCGTTTATGCACCACAGCTGACGTATCAATGGAATCCTGCCCAGTCTGACTGCCCTTTCTTCAAAGATGTCATTGACAGATGAGTATCTAAATGTTTTTATTTTAAAAAGAAAACAAGAAGAAAGAACGAGAATAAAACAAAACAAAAAGCAAAACAAGAAACTCTTTCTGTCCCACACAGACACATGGAGCCCATGAACATGAAAATACAGGTCAGGCCTGGAAGTGGTGCAGTCTTTCCAAGCAGTCTGATAATCATTTGCAAGGCTGTACACCCTTCTTTTCAGATACGATTCAATTTAACACAAAGATATTACTGAAATTCCAAGTTACTACTCAGGGCGGCATCCCCTCGGCTACTGAGACATACAGAGGGGCTGCTGCTCCTGTAAGCCGTGGGGCAGAAGTCTTCTGCTCGGGCCTTCACCTTCACCTCCCTCAATGAGAAAGGCATTTTTTAAGAGTGGTAAACAATGCCTATTTAATATGAGGAAAATACACAGAAGACAGTCACTAAGCTGATCAACAGCAACATGTCAAAGAGGCTGCTCTGGGTTGGTCACAGAAAAGTCCTCTTCAGGTGCCCACCTTTGGCATGCTGCTTCCACAGCGGCTCTCAAAATCAAACCTGAGAAATATTATTTTATCAGAAATCTACCAAAAAGAAAGTCCATAATCACCAGTTTTAAAAGGCAAGAACTAAATACACTTCCTTGGTTAACCTTGCTTCTTCATCCTCCTCTGTAGTTATATTCTGAACACAGGGACCAGCTGACATGCACTCAAGTAGCAGTAAACAGGAGGATATCTCCTCCACCCACCCACTGGGGAGCCGAACCTGCTGTGGGCTCTGGCCAGCTTGCTAAGTCAAGAGTGAACCAACCACCATTCAGAAAATGTAGTCTTCTCCAGACTTCCCACAGCACCTGGGCTCAGTCTGCATTTCAGCCATGCTTAAGGAGACAATTAAAAACATAAAGCAGGGCCCTCCCTGGTGGTGCAGCAGGTTAAAGCACAGCACTAAAAAGCTAAGCCACTTCAGCCTGAGTTCGATCCCCACCCCGGGGGTGATCCACATGGCACAGCAGACCTCTCTTGACCCACCCGCTGCTCCCCTCAGCAGTGTACTTCATCAGTTGGCCTGTTCTGCTCCCCACGCTGTCTCTGGTGAATCCTCTCACCGTCCCTGCACCTCTGGTCTGTACCCCAACTCTGTATGCATAAATAAATAAATCTTTAAAAAAAAAACCATAAAGCATTGGAATAAATTTTAGCAGAGTTTGCAAACTTGAGGCAAAGTGACTGGGGCGGGCACAGTGATCTTAAAAGGATCAACATGGTCATCCTTCATGAGAACTGAATGAGAAAGCTAAGGAAAAGGTTTTAAAAAGAAATTTCAAACAGATGGACAGACGGCTTTGGTCAGAACATGTCTTTTGGCAGCTGCCATATGTGGCTCAGCACCAGGACGATAAAATACCTCCAAAACTAGCTGGCCAGGTCAACCTGGAGGTAAGCAAGTCTGACCTCCTCTAAGCAAAAATAAATCTCACGAGTTATATGATCCTGTCTTCTACTTTTCTCAAGGAACATGAGATGCTAAGTGATAAAATTTGAAGACAGCAACCGTGAATTCTCAGAGACCTTATCTCCTCACTGATTAGTTGCAGGTCTGCCTAGTTCACAATGAGCTATAGGTCAGATACATAAGACTGTCTTCCTGCCATACCCAAAAATCCAAGAATAACCAGGGCAACTATCCCCAAATCTTTCAATCCCTGCTAAGACAACTATGATGCACAGTCAAATCAGAAATGAAGTGGGGAAAAGCCGCAGAGTATCCTAGGTAAAAAACAACCACTTGAAACATGTCTGCCTCCGCTTGCGTTCCTTCCTACAAGCATGCACAGAACGTGATGTCCAAAGTCACCATGCAGTACAGCTGGTAGAAAAGAATGAGTCTCCCAGAAGAATGACTCCCATTGGCAAACCTAGCTAATATCAGGATGGCACACAGAGGATTCATCCATCCACCAACCAATAGGCCCAAAATTACTTAGCAGAATTAGATGATGTACAATTGCTCAGTCTCTATCTGGAGAATACAAAAGCACTAATTCAATGGGATATTTATACTTCTATGTTTATTGAAGCATGTTTATAATAGTCAAATTATGGAAAAAACTTAAGGGCCCAATGACAGATGAGGTAAAAGAAGATGTAGTGTTTAGACACAATGGAATATTACTCAGCTAGAGGGAAGTATGTTATATGAAATAAGTCAGAAGGAGGAAAAACAAGTATCAGATGATTTCACTCATATGTGGACTATGAAACAAAATGAAGTTACAAAGCTGAATTGAAACAAACCTTTGAAATCTGAGGCCACCAGAGAGAGAGGGTGAGAGTAGGGTAAAGGGGACAGCACCAGTGGGTGCCATGATGGTGACTAGTGGAGGGTGCGATGCGGTAACATACATCTGAAGAGGTGTGAACCTACACCCCTAAATCATTGATACTACTTTTTTTTTTAACATACACAACATTGCAGAAACCAATATTACCACAATAAAAAAATAATACAATGAACAAAATAACAAAACAAAACAGATAATGTGCCAGACATGCTTTAAGGGTCCATTTTTGTCAATAGCTGTCCTCAAAAAGAGGGCTTTCTGGAGCAGTTTCTGGCCATTTTGGCTAAATACCACAATGCAAACCCCCAGCAAGCCCTGGATGTGTGCCAAAAGCCCTAGGACACAAGATGTGGGAAAGCCAGAGATGGGTTATTTTGGCAGCTCAAGACTCAATCATAAAATGCTCTGGCTCTTTCCTGTTCCTGAACCAATCACTGCACCTGGGTCTATTCCCAGGAGATTAGGATGATGGCGACCCTCAGTGCTCTAGAGAAGGGTACATTTCAGCTCATGTGCCTCAAATAAACCATTTCTTCACATGGCCTCTGAGATCCTCATGATGCAGAAGCAGAAGGCCTGGAGCTATCTGAGTAACCATGCTACCTATTGTCAAGAAATGCCTCTGCACAGAGTCTGACTGGCTCAGAGCTTAAGAATAAAATCTGGGGAAAGATTTCTGCATTCACATCAAACACAACCAGCTGTCAGAACCTTGGATTGGAAGAGATGACATGAAGTTGAAGACAAAGAAGCTTTAAAGTGTGTTTCCTTTCAAAACCTACTTTCTGGAGAATTGATGTTCTACATAGCAGCAGCTCACTGGCCGGATAAGTGGATGCCACACTTACTTCACAGTCATGGAAACCCAGCATTTACCTGCCACCACGGGAGATTTCCGTTCATCCAGGAGCTGGATGGAGGTGCTTGCTGTCACCACATTGCTTTTGTTGACTGATCCTGGAAGAAAAACAACCAACATGATGAAATGCAGAGAGCCAGAACACACTGGTGAAGACAGTAATCACACGGGCCACAATCACCAATCCTGCAGGTTGTGCTGGGGCTCAGCTCCTGGCCTCCTCTGTTGGGTTGGGCAGCCAGTGCTCTAAGTGGAGGGATTCGAGGCACCAGGTGGCAGCCCCTGGGGTACGGTGAGAGGGGTCATCCACCTTTTCACACTGAAATTGCTGACTGCCACTGAAGGACATCACTATTTTTTTTTTGTTACTTGCAGTTTCTAACTTCAGTATCTACTTGTGTCAGTGATCATATGTCTGTATCATGTCTACATATGTAAACATTACAATAGGAGCGGCACAAAGTAGAGTTTTGAAATTACAATGATTTGAGAATTTGAGAACTCCATTTTTATTGGCTAGAACCTTCCAGGTCTATAAAATTTAAATTTCCAGCTCAGTTTTTCTGAACATAACCATTCTAAACTAGAATAGAGCTTGATTTCAGTCTTTATTCCAAACCTTTATTAATGTTGGTGATAATATGGCATGAATAGCAAGAAGTTTCCCATTATTAACAGTGGTTCCAATACCCATGAATAGGGAGACTGAGTACAAATTCTGAATTGTTAGCACAGGGTCTCCCTCATAGAAGGTGCTCAATAAGTGTGAGTTGAATAGAGAACAATAGAATTGAGAAGCAAGGAAGAGGAGTCTATGAATTTGAATATAATTAGAATCAAAGCAATAAAAGACTTCCTCCTGGATCAAGCCGAGCAGTAATAAAACTCAGTTCCTTTTCCAGTGGGTACGGCTATTCAATACACAGTAGAAAAGATGAGAGTAAGATCCAGTGCAGCATTTGAACTGGGTGGGTGATTTTTTAAATTTTCCCCTGAATCTAAAGGGAACATAAAATCTCTTAAGATGTTACATCACCCATAGTTTAACCATGAACAAGGTAAATTCCTTTTTTTTTTTTTTGTTTTTTTTTTTGGTAAATTCCTTTTTATTTACCTTGAATTCCATTGAAAGCTCAATGAAATCTCCACTTGCTTAAAACTAACTTGACAAGAGTCTTAATTAATCAAAATTGTTTTCCTAGACATAATTATTTTTGAACAAAGCAAGTTGCTTGAGGGGCTCTCTCTCTCTCTCTCTCTCTAACACCACTTTTGGTGCATGCTCTCATTTCCCACAGCTACTCCTTCTCCTAGTTTGGTTTTAGACACAACCTACTCAGTCACAATGGAAAATTTGATGATTCCAGTCCAGATCTAGAACTTAAGGTAGATGCTTTTTTTAAGAGGACTATGAAAACAAAAGTATTATAAGATTGATATTTTTAGCAATAAAATGTGATATAAACAAAGAGACTAAGCCAGCTGCAAATTTACATTTGAGAGTGTGCGCACACACACACACACGCACACACCTGGATACACAGAGACCTTTCAGCAGAGGATCACAAAAATCCCAAAATCTCCGATATGAAGGGACCCTAATTGATAACCTAAAATTCTACCTACCAAGAAATTCTTTTCTTAAATGTCTTCCTTAATGAAGCACCTTCTTCCTAATAAACCCATTCAACTATTAGACAGCTCTTGTCAACATGTTGTCTACGAATTTCAAAAACACACTTTTTGAAGGTGTTTACATTCTTGGAAATGAGCAAGCACCAAGATCTGGGAAGGAGGATTAAGACTAAGCACTAGAGGACCTCCATTGAGTTGATTCACTAATGCTCATAACAGCTTAAAAAAAATGCCTTAATATAAAACATAAGCAAACGCTGGACTGTCCAGCACAATCCAAGTTTACAGAATTAGGTCTTATTCATCTCCAACGTTGCTGCAACGCACAGTACAGTTTTACACAGAACCAGCATGGTTAACGTTTATGTTGGAGACCAGAAAGAGCCCAGGACAATTGAAAAGTATTTCCAGTTTGTCTTGCTTCTAAACTTGGCTGAGAGAAGATAGAGTTCAGTTTATTTGGGAGGAAGGTGACTTTAATTTTTTTTATAATATAAAACCTTAGCAATGGAAATATCACTTGGCTACAGCCCTCTGTCAGCAAAGCACAGGGCTATGCAAAGTCTTAGTTCTCACACCTACATGCTGATTCAAATCAATTCAGCTTCAGTGGGGAATTGTGGGTCTCCAAAGTGACTGGGCTGACTGAAGTTTCTGGGAAAAGGGTAGCCTCCCTGAACTTCTGTAAAGTAGGGTCATGACAGTAAACAAAAAATCTTCTGAGAAGTTTGTATTCCAGTTCCACGCAATACAAACTATCAGTCCTGCTTCGTGATATGCTCTTTGCACACTCTGGTGCAGCCAACACTTCATTTTATTTGGGGCTTTCACACTAATAGAATAGGCCTTGGCCGGGGATGGGTTAACATTCAGCATTGGCTCTCAAGGCTAAATATAGCTCCCCCTGCTTCCAGGCAGCACCCCCATTCTCTGCACACATGCCCAGGCCTACATAAACAGATAGAAGGTACCCACCTCCAACTGGGGCACCCACCTGTGCTGAATGGGATCGAGTAGACGAAACTCCCTGGAATCTGCTCAGCGGCTCTTCGGTACCAGAGAGGGAAATGGTCTGCATTGAAAATGTTCTCCTTGTCTCCAGCTTTGAGGAAGTCCCTTGAAATGGAAGAAATGGAAAGAAGTGGAAGAGCATGGAACAGCAAGGAGAAGCCAGATGTGGGTGCTTCCTGATAGCCTTTGTCAGGTAAGAGAGTCCTGGTGTTCAGACCCCAGCTGTCTGCATTTCACAATGCAGAAGACCTCTGTGCACCTGGATTCCCAGACATGTCTTGTAGGGTTCTGGCAACCAAATTCCCAGTGGGTGAAATATTTCCAAGTGTATCTAGTGAACCTGTTGTCTTAGTGTCTAAAGAAAACAACCTTTCCAGAAATCATATTTAAAGACCAAAGGGTATTCAGGAAGATCAGTTGCCTTCAGATCCATGCCCCTGGACACATGTCCTTAGGAGGATCACTCCTTAAGAAAATCTTACGTTTTTAAGAAAAAAAGTGCAAAGGGGGAAGAGTGGGCTCTTTCTCTGCCAACTGCCCATAATGATTCCCTCTTTCTAGAGTAAAGTCATACTCATTACAAGATGAGCCTTGAATATCACCCAGCCCAAGACCCACAGAGAAACCCAGACAGGCTCTTGTGCTACTTGTGGCCCCACAGTCCCCTTTTCCCTCAGTCTTTTTAGAGGCACGATAGTTATGTCCCTACCCACAATGTCTCAAGATCTTTGAGGAAAGGAGGATTTGTTCACAATTTTGCAACCATTCATGGAGCCTTAACCATACAGGAGTCCCAGTGAGTACTTGCTGGCTTGACATCCCCGAAGAGTTGAATATCCCCTTCAGCACCCAGAGTGACCCCTTTCAGGACTGCCAGCTAGTTCACACTCTGCAGAGATCTTGCAGGAATGTAGACCATTGCAGCAGTGTGTGTGGAGGGAGAGGGCACGACTTTCAGTCCAGTCCTTTGCAGTATGGGGTTGGGACACAACAGGCCATGGAGAGAAAAATCCACACACAGATCTCTATTATTTTAACATGGTTGAATAAATATGCTAAGTTGTAAGTAGGTGATTAGTCCTAATGTAGGAAAGTATTCTGTAGTTATAGTCTAGTCAACCCACAGTGATTCCTTGATGTCTTCCAATGATGAGGAGCTCACACCTTTGCGGGGATGTTGTTGGACCAGAGGCCGCCCTCAGTGCTCTTAGGCACACTGGACTCTGCCTCCCAGAACTTACAAGAGCATACCCTAATTCTTCTCTCAGAGCAGAGACCATGTTTTTCTTGAAATTCCCAGTGCCTGGAACTCATCCGCCCTCAGCACTTGCTTAATGACCACAGGATAAATCAAATCTCATATCCAGATAAGAACGCCTCAAGTATTAAAAACAATTTTCAGTATTTTTCTAAATGATTCTCAAATATTTCAGATTCCCTCATCATCAGATTCCCTGCTATGGAAAGGCTCCACTGTGTCAGAACCCCTCTAACATTTGTGCTACCGGAGCTGACTTTACAAGACCCCCAGTAGGCTGACACTGTGGCTGACACGTTCACTGACTTCACCAACAGGAAGACACTCCCGCAATTACAAAAATGTTTTTAATTGGCAAATATGCTCTGCTGATATTCCGAAACTCAGCTGTGGGGTCATGGATGGGACTGAGAAGATGCAGAGAGGCCCCCATGCTGTTCAAGAATACTGCAGGGGTTCAGGCTCCACAGAACAGAAAAGCTGCTCCTCCTGGGTCAGTGGTGATGTTTCCTGATCCGGAAGTGAGCAGATGTCACTGAAGTGTGATCTTTCTAATTATTTTCTTGAGACATGAGGTTCTGCATATACCTGACTGAGGTGGGTGTGTGAAGGAGCCCCTGAGGCTCAGGTGGACCAAGCCTGCCTTTCACACCCACCTGCAGTGCGGCCATTTGTTTTCCCCCATCAGTGCTGGCCTGGAAGGCACATGCAGCCCCCGGGAGTCATGGAGACTTGGACCCTCTGGTGACACTAGCTCAGTTGCAAGTGTGAGGTGGTCCCTATTTAGACTGATAGTGACCTTCAGGCTTGGGGAATGGCAGGGAGCAGGGCTGGGACTCTGAACATCTGGGCCCTGCTGGCCCTGGGGGCCGGCTTGGTCTCCTGCTAGCTCTGGTGTTGATATGACAGAGTCCAGTTGCTGAGAAATCTTGGGGTACCCTGTAAACTGATGAGTACTGATTCAGGACACAGAAAGGAGACACCTGATTCTACACAAACATCCAGAATGTTTTCTTAGGAAAGCAAAATCCCTCTGGATTAGATGAACATCTATGTCTAGCTAAGTAGTGCTACTGTGAGAGACAGGCCCGGGTAATAAGCAGAAGTGAGTGACCTGGAGTGAGTTATTTGGGTCAGCTGCTGAGTCTCTGAGCCCCATTTACCCATCTACAAAATAAGAATAATCTTGCCTACAACCAGAATTCTATGACATCACGTGCAAAAGGGCTAAGTAAGAAAATGGTTCACACAAATACATGGGATTGTTAAAGCCAACAGTTACTTTCATTCTCTGTGGTTCAAGTGGAAGTTGTGAGACCCTCTTACTAGGGTTTCAGGGACAGTGGTGACCATATGATGAAGGCTGATGTTACTATCAGCTATGTGAGTTGCTGTAATCCCAGAGGCTACCCTGAAGGCATAAAATGTAGCTGATATTGGGGTGATACAGATTGGAGAGGGCATGGGCTATCCTGACCTACTTGCAACAGCAGCTGGTGAGGACAGGGGTCTCATGGTATGAAGCTGATGATAATGTAAGTTAGCTCTTGGATAGGGAGCTACCATACATTACAATTTAATCCTCCTCCCTCCCCCCTTAATATTTGGACTATTCCTAATATGCCCTATTCACATAAAAATAATTCTGGAAGCTTTCTAGTCCTGGATAGTATAATGTATTCAAACAGTTGGGTTTCAACAAATACCACTTGATCAGAGGGGTAGTCAGGGAAAAAGACCCTGGGACAACAAGAGGTCTACAAAAGAATGAATGATGTGTTTCTTGAAGACAATAGAATCATTTCATACATACAGGCATCCAAGTACTCACTCAGATAATAGTAAAATCACAGGGAGCACAGAACTACACAATTGTAGGTATCTCTAGTTTCCCAAAGCAGGTTTGTTGCCACAATTTCTTGAAGTTCACAATAAACCAAGGAGACCACCCATGTTTTCCAGATACATAGAGTGAAGGTAACAAGTGAATCCAGCAGATGGACACTCCAGAAACCCATGCACTGTCGTTTTCCAAATCTGTCATAATTACCCGATGTCAGACAAGCCAAGGAACTATGTATTTTGTTAATGTTTATTTTAACTTCCACACGACAGCCACCCTCTCTGAGCACTGGAGACTCTGCCTCTGTCTCCCTTTGCCTGCCAGGAGGCCATGTATACCTCCATATTTCCAGTCCCTCTTAGGAATTGCCCTCTGGAAGAAAAATGGTGTGGGGGTGAGGGCTAAGAGGACTTGAAAAATATGAAGTAACAACTTTAGGTAACATCACAAGCGACAAATTTCAGGTGTCAAGGAACTGTCCCTAGATGGGAATCAAAAGCCATTGCACAAAATATGTAAAAATCTGCCACTAACTTGTGTAGCTTTTATCAGATGATAGGTGTCAAGGCCTCATCTAACGGAGGCAAGAGAGCACCTTCTGGCTAGATATCCACTGAGTCAACCTCTCTCAAGATGATGTCCACCTTGTGATTTGGTTATTATTCTCCCCCTGGTATCCTGAAGGTCAGGGTGTGTGTGAGGTTTGGTGGCAGCCTCTGAACTTACACCCACACTCGCAAGCTTTCCGAGTCTAATCTTGACTTGTCCCTGGCCTGAAATTTCCTCTTGCTTCTGAGAAAACAGTCATGGGTTCAGAAAAGACTTGCCAGGTTCACATCAGCTCTATTAAACAGCACTTTGAAGAGTTACAGCTCATGTCTTCAGAGACACAGGCTGAGTGGAGGTGGAAAGGCCTCAGGATACTGGGCTCAGTGACACTGTCCACTGTCTGTGTAGGTCTCTTGGGCAGCACAAGGAAACACTCAAACTCAAGCACCCGCAGGCTGGCCCCTCCTGAGTGTGGGGCACTGCAGGCCCTCAGCCCAGTGCAGAGGCTCAGAGATTTATTAAAACCTACACAAACAAATAAACAACAGACATGAAACCCTGATCGTAGGGCAGAAAGGCATTCTTCAGCAGAGCTGCACAACAGCTGAGCTGAACACCCTAAATTCGTCTGTCAGGAGAGGAGCCGTCTTCCCTCTGGCTGCGCCCCCAGCAGCTGCACCATCTTAGTTCTGAAATGACTCACCAGAGCAGGAGAGGACCCCAGGATGGTGGAGAGAAGCCAACAGGAATGAAGAACAAAGGGCTATGGAAGGGCCCATCAGCAGGTGAACCACAGGCCCAGGGTGGGAGGCTTGGGAGAGGGTCATAGGACAGAGGAGGATGTCCGCAGCAGCGTGGAATTTTGTTTCTACTGGTGGTGGACGTTTTCAGAAATGAAAGAAGGTCCCCTTGGGACTTCCCACATCAGGAGGTCGCTGGCCCCTGCAGAGGAGCTCTGCTACTTACTGATTGGTGAGCTGCTCCGCTCCAACAAATAAGTTGATCCTCGAGAGGCCAGTGCGAGTGCCGAGGAAGGCAACCTCCACCCCCTTGTCAGAATTCCTGAAACAAAGCAGCAGACAACAGGGGGATTCTTCCAGACAGTGAGCAAATAGTGGCTTCTGCACTGTAAGACTCAAGGCACTTCTTACAAAACAGCATTTTGAAACTTGAAATTTTAAAAGAAATTATAGAGATGCATACATGACTGCATGGGACCACATGGGACCACTCACACACACGCACCAACCCAACAATCCCAAATCATCCTTTAAGGAAGCTTTGTGGTGATTCTAGCAAGATAAACTAAGAACTCCCTGAAAACACAGAGGGCGGCGGAGATAGATCCCTGATCACAAATACACCTTTATCTCAAGGTTCAGGGTCCAAGTCAGGGATAGTGGTCAGAGAATGGGAATGACTTGGAGGAGAGGAAGAAAATCCTTAGATCCAGCTTTGAGTATTGATGGCAGCAAGACCATTCTTGCCCATGAGATCATTAGTGGAATTTGGCATTAGGGAAAAGAAGTCACTGAGCCACATTATCCAGGCTGAAGTATCCCAGAGCTGGAAATGTCTACTAAATGCTACAAATGCTTTTGAGAACATCAGCTCCTCACACCTACTAAAGCACAGGCCTTATCATCACCAACAATCTTAAAAAGCTGGCTTCTTCAAATTATCCTGCAGAATGTCATGAGTAAGACCCTGCGCATGGTCTTAGCAAAGAAAATCCACTTAAATAAATGACTAAAATCCATTTTTATTAAACTTGGAGGGCAAACGTTATATGCTTGAGCATTTTCCTCAGGATGCTTGCAATAATTACTTCACAAAGCAACTAGTCTTTCCTCATGGAGGTGTCATTTTATTACATAATAAAAATACAAAGAGATAACGGATTCTTAAGTTTTATTCCATGCCCTAGAAAATAGTAACAAGTTGAGTTGAAACATTATCCAAGTCATCTTCAGTATAAGATCATTTAGATATTTGACCTTTGATGGTAGCCAAGATGGCCAATACTACCTTTAAATAGTTAAGGGGTAAATAAAAAAAAGCAACACTCTGCATTCGTTTCTGTTTGCAGCCTACACTAACTGGGAAAGTCAGGCTGTCCAATCAGTTACAGATGTGAACTACAAAGCAAGCTACCATTTTGAAAATTTTTAGCATGTGTTAGGAATGAATCAGCAATCTTTGCACAGGATTGTGAGTTTCCTGAGAGCCTAAAAGAAACATTTCCACATCCACATGCAACTCCAGGAAAGAGGCGCTGACTCTTTCCCAAACTCCCAGGGAATAAGAAGCATTAGGTAAGTCGTCCAGCCATGCCCTCCTCCCTCCCAAGTACCATGAGACCAGGGCCCTCTCTCTGAGCTCCATGTTCACGTTTTACATGGCTTACATTACGTATGCCTTTGGAAGACTTAAAGTCATTTTTTCCCTAAAAATGCTTAAGGGAGAACTCTGACCCTGTCCAGTCCCAAACCTGCCCTTCTTTCATTGTTTCCTAACCAGGTATTCATATTGCAAACCTGAGAATGATTTTTGATAGTTCAGCCTCCCTTCCCCCGTCCCCTACACAGTAAACCCATCAGCAGGCCCTGGGAGGGGTCTTAGTTCCTATAATGCCACAAGTGCATCTTTTCTCTCTGTGCCCACTGCCACAGCCTTGGCCAGAGAAGTAAACCCTATTGAATGCCACAGGAGCCTTTTATTATTATCCTAACTCACTGTACCTCATTCTCCACAAAGCAAGAATCAGGTCTTTTCAAAATGAAACTATGACAATGTCCTCCTTAAAGTCTTTGAATGTCATTCTTAAAACCCTTCAATGGTTTTCCAATGTTCTGAGTATAAAATGCCAAATCTGTAACTGAGTCACCTGCCACTTTGCAGCCTCATCGCCTGGTAGCTTCCATCCTACCCTCTATATTTCAATGGTGTTGGCCTTCTTTAAATTCCTCAAATACATTAAAACACTGTCACCACATGGCATTTGCACATGCTGTTTCATCTCCCTTAAATGCTGCCCAAACCTCAAACTAGTTCCTGGCTCAGGAAAGCCTTCCGTGCCCTCTATCTCTGCCTTAGGATTTGTTATAGTCTACACGTCTTTACGCAGTTATCACAAGTTCTTAATAATATAACGCTCTTTATGCAGTACCTTGTTGGCAAGGATTATATTCATTCCACTTCACCAACATCTAAGCTAGTTCTCGGCACATAACATGCAAGCAATCAATATTTGATAAACAAGTGAAAATGACAATGAATGACAGATGGAAGACACTATACAAATGGAAAGGTAAAAGAAGAAAGGAACTAATAAAGAATAGGAAAGAAGAGATAACTGTGTAAAATGTGAATGTATATGGTATAGGTAATGATTTTTCCCTCTTAATCTTTGGTAGCCTACCTAAAATAGCAGGGAAAAATATAATAATAATAATAATAATAATAATAATAATAATAATAATAATAATAATAATAAACTGCTGGAGCAGTCCTCCCCTGCTCTAGTCTTTGACAACAACCACTACTGCTCGCTCCCCTCCCTTGTACCCGCCACTTCAAAAATAAAACCACAGGGCTATATCTGACACCCTAATGAAACAGAGCTCTCACTTCCTCATCCTACTCCCGACCTAACCTGGCCCAGATCCCAAGTTCCCTCCAGACTGTGAAACAGAGGGAGCCAAGCAGGCCAGGAAGCGAAATGCTCCTTCCGCCTCCCTCTCTGTCGGAAGTGTCACCCTACCTCGGCAGACCAAATTTCATGTAATGTTAAAACTCAAACAAATTATATGTCAAACCCAGGATCTTGCCATCCAAGCCCGAGCCGCTAATCTGCTCTAGCTCTTGTGGTTTGGAGCTTTGGGGGAAATTAAAGAACTTTAACACCAGGCTCCTAAAACAGCTTAGTTCTTTAAACCATAACCATATTTCGGACGGCTTGTGGGGAAATGGCCATGAAGGGGGACACGTGCAACCACTTACTCAGATTTGTTGAGGGCAAGGCTGGTCCAATACGCCTCAATGGGAGCGCTCACCACGGCGTCAAAGAGGACTTCTTGTATCAGTTCTTTGTCACCTGGTGGGAGGGACAGATTTGAGAAGGTGGCTCTGGCGGGGCCCCAAGGCAGGCCACGAGGTGCTCACTGGGCTGACTTAGCAGGGCCTCTAGGCTTCCTTTTCACATGTGTGTCATTTATGCGATAACCTCCCCCTGGTCAAAAATATGAAACAGTTCTGACACCTGAGGTGCCAGTCATGCAGTGAGCCCCGCGCATCTGATGAGATGACAGGAAGTGAAGGGGCACCGGTGCCTCCTGCTTCAGTTTCCTGCCTTCTCTCCACCCCTGGCAGCCCCTGCCATAGGCCTGCTGACTCTGGGTTTGGAGAGCAGAAGGCAGCACTCTCTGGAGTGTTAGCTCTTCTCAGTGTTAGCTCTTCTCATCTCCATTTCTATTCTTTATTAAAACCTGCAGTTCATTCTTCAGGGTCCTGATCTCAGTCCATTGTAAGAAGGGGAAGAGCCATGGTAACTCAGTAATTCCTGAGACTTTTATTTTGGGGTTCTTTCCATTGAAGAGACTGTCTCCTCAAGGACATATTCACTCCCACCCCCATCTGGAGGGACTCTCTTCAGAACTCCATGAAGAGATCAAGCAGTCTGGGGCAACCACGAGTCCAGCAGAGGCTTCCTGGAGACCCAGCAGGAACACAAACTCTACTGCAGCAGGCTGTCCTTGCTTTGGGGTGGAGAGGGGAGCCGGTTGTGAAATCAAAACCAACTCCTCATCACAAATGAATTCCTAAGTTGAAATATAGTTATATGAAGGAATACTGTATAGTAACCCAAACAACCACTCCAAATATCAAAAATATGAGTGAAAACAAGTCATAGAATGATGCATGTAATATTGTACTATATGTTTATGTAGTATGCCATATATACATTTTAAGTTTCAAGATAATGAAAATCATGGTGCTGCCATATTTTATGGATGTCTATCTATGTGGTAATAGCATAAAATGCCAGGAATAGCGGACAAATGCAAGATGGTGAATTTCTTAGGGTGAGAAATGGGACAAAGATGATACTCCTGTAATGTTTTATTTCTTTAAAAATACCTGAATATGGAAAAATGTCAAAAAAGACTGTGCACAACTGCATCGTAACTATAAATGTTCTCTATTATCTTTATACTTTTTTACTTAAATGTCATTACAAAGTCAAAGAAAATTTGAAAAATGTGTTCATATATGTCCATCTGATCCTCTTTCTACTAGAGACAGTCACGGAAAGTATACCCATTCTGCAAAGATGCTACTTAGCAGGACAACCTCCTCACACCTTGCATAAGGCCCCTGTGGTTATCCAAGCGCTACCAGTACATGTAAAGGACTTTGTACATCATTGGGTAATGTTTGGGGTGTGACAGGTGCATGTTCATGTTTAGTGAATTCCGCCCCTGCCCCCCACCCTGGATCAAAGTTGGGTCTGTGCAGGGTCTGCTTGTGAACACAGGGGCACCAGGCCTGCTCTTGCTCCCTCCTGACCCCTCTGCACCAGCCATGGACCATTTCTGCCTTGCTGAGCTCTCTCAGGGGGTAATGGTGAAGGAGAAGAAGCAAAACATAAGACCACAAGAGACAGGTCATGTCACAGTGGAGCCCCCCCCAAAGAACTAGATCATGGCTTTGAGTGAGGCAAGCCCATTTTCGTGTCCTGGTTTTTCATTCGCACAATCAGGAAGCTGGATGAGCAGGCATCCATAGTCCCTCCTAAGTTGTCACATTTTCATCCTACTCAGGGGCTGACTAAATGGATCCATAAGGGGACAAATCCAACACAGAGGGTTAAGTGGGACTCGGGACTCTGCGTGAGTGTGAGTAACACACATTCTCCTGTTCCTATGGGAACAGCACATTTGGCTGGATTTACTGTGACTGATAGTCTCTGCCAAAGCAAAGCTTCCCTTGAAAATTGAGGCCAACTATGTCTTTGCACTCACTTTGCTCACCACTGCCACATGCACACACAACATATGTTTAAAAGTACACTCACACTGGAGCAGAGGTTCTTTGCCTTTGAGGTACAGCTTAATCGCTTCTAACTGAGACAGGTGCCGGTGTTCTGGATGTAGGTCAGTGTTGCAGTAGGACCTAGGAATGCAACAAAGCCCAAAATGAGAGTGTATATGTAATATTTAGAGCATCACCATCCTTCGCTTCGAACCAGGACAATTGGGTGAAGCATTTAGATAACTTGAAAACAAAGAGGGCTGTGTTCAAATAGCAACGCTGATGAAAGATTCAACTCTTACCATTCGTCTGCCAAGGACACATCGGGGTGTTCTAAGTCATGCAGTCCTAGAAGTCAAGGAGAAGGGCTCAATGAGTAAGTGGCCCCTGTGTTGGGGACTGGCACACCCTCTCTGCCCCCATGCCTCCAATACACCAGGGCAGGGCCCTGGGGAAAGGGGACTAAAGGCAGACATCAGCCCCAAAGGCAATTGCCTGGGTAAAGGGACCCTGAGCAACAACAAATTCTCTTCCCAGACAGAACCTTCCCACTTCCCCTCGCTCAGCCAGCACTGCTGCCTCCCTGCCTGAGTGCCCCGGGGTGGCCTTAACTCCCTGAAGATAAATGGTAACAGCAGTGCCCCTCTGAGGCACTTAGCATGCTGATAGAAGCACTGACTCTGGAGCTCCATACAGCCTGAACTGGGAACTGGGCGGGCCACTTAATACTTGTGTGACAGAAGCACATTTATTTTTATATCCAATTCTTCATGTACAAAATTAATAGCCCTAAGGGGTGGGTGACTGTGAAGGGGCAATTTACAGGTGAGTGGTATGAAATTGCTAATGTTCAACTGTTTTTGACCAGAAAAATGTGCTAGTTGTTACAGGGGCCTAAGAAAAAAATGAATCATCTGTCTGGAAAGATAGCCAGGGGGTGGGGCATGCAGGAAACTTGGGAGTTTTCAGAGCATGCCCTGACCACCTTAACACTGCGAATTCTCTCTTTGTGTCTTCATGACACTGCATTTCTATGGGCCACCAGTAGATTATACTCCTGAAGGCAACCTCAAGAACACTGATGATGCTTACAGCCTGTTTGAAGATGCCAGTTTCCCAAACAACCAACTAACAATATGATGATGCACTCAGGACTCCAGATTTCTCCTCATATGTGAATGTACTAAAGAGAAAATACTATACACTAAACCTATCACACAACCGGCTGGTATTACAGGAAGCAAGGGATAGGTCCCATAGAGTAGCATCATACAGGATCCAACTGTCCATATACCCTGGTTTCCCTTCCCTGGAATGTCTGTTGCAACTCTTTGAGTCCTATAAACTAGAGAATGCATGTAACAATGCCAAACTCAGAGACTCCACGAGAAGGTTAAATGGTACAGTGATTAGTTCCTAGGACAGTCCATCCAGCCAACCATCCATCCATTCATTTTTTTTCTCCACTCTCATGCCCAGCCTTTCTTTTCTCTCATCCTTCTCCTTTCCTTGGCTCTCTGACTCCTTTGTTCCCATCTTCCCCTTCCCCCTTCCATAAATTCACTGAGCATCAACTATGTTTCAGGAACTCCTCTAGACCCTGTGAATATAGCAGAGAACAAAAACCGCTGCCCTCAAGGCATTACTATCTAGTGGCAAAAAAAAAAAAAAAAAAGAGAGCAATTAAGGAAATAAAATTAATATACAGAGCACACATAGTAGTAAGGACTATGTTAGAAAACTAACTAGGTAAGTTAGGGACTTGAGTAAGGCTAGGGGATGTCAAGAGACAGGAAGGACAGACAGTTTTATCGCTGACCGCAGTCATAGGGGAAGGCATTGCTGAGAAAGTGACTATTAAGCAAAGACTTGACGAGGTGAAAGAGAGTCATGTAAATAACTGGGCAAAGAGACGTGGCAGAGGGACAAGAGTAAAGGCGCTGAGGGGGCATCGTGCCTTCCTGAGCTATTAAGCTGCTTTTCTAGTTTCAGACAAGCCTTCATCCACAACCCTCCCCCCCCACCCCGCTGTCTTTTAGAGGATCTACACTAGACCACGCGGAAGGGTTTGTTCGCTTCCTCCCTCTTTGAGTTACTGGGGAACTAAGCAGACTGAATAATTCTCTAGTTTGTCACCTTTGATTTTGGCCCTTCTGCTAAAAACCACATTTATGGATTGAAAATACTGACAATAAAGACATTACCTCTCCTACTGAGTATTTCCTATGCAGTTTATATCAAAGATACAAAGTGCCAGTGAGGTTCAGAAGAGGGATGATCTGGGCAGGCAGAACCGGAGCCCTGCCTTCAACCTTGGGAGACAGTCCTCACTCCTGAACAAGGCCTACCTGTTCACCATCTTTGTCATGTCCAATGGCGGAACACAATGCAAATTCCTAGATTCGGAGGGTAGCATTCCTTATAGAAGATGCCATAGAAGTGTGGCTGCCCTCCCCAAGGGACTCCCTGTCTCCAAGGGCAGAGAAGAAACTCTCCTGTGCCATTTCCCTGGGTGGCAAGTCCAGTCCCTCTCCTAGTCAACCCATGAGGAAGCAGCTTTCCTGGACTGTTACTCAGCAAAGCTGGCAGGACTGTAGGCCTCCTCTTCACAGAGGTCCAACACAGAGAGGAAGATCTGACCTCATTTGTGTGGATAACCAGGTACTCTCCTCACTGAGGGTTCAGACAAATTTCTTGCATGGTGGTTACAGTTAGCTCTGAAATTTCTTCTATGTGACCTCTGAGCCTAACAGCTGTGAAACACAGAGGGGGAAGACAGGGACTAAAGAAATGACTGGAAAGGCAATGCCAAAAATTCTGTCATGTGAGTGAGAGAAGAGGGAGACAGAGAGTCAGAGACAGAAAGAAGGGAGGAGGAGGGGCAGGGGCTGACAAAGGAATGGACACAGGAGAGGCAAGTAATCCATTAAAACTTTTCCCTTCTATTGTTCTGACCGTGAGCTGTTTCTTCTGCTTGACCTGGGATGACTTTGACATGAATTTTCTGGCTTCATGGGCAGTGATATTCACAGAGCCACATACAGCCCAGAGAGCTGGAAAATTCTGGAAGTCAAAAAACTGGTTTTTGGGAACTGCACATTCTGTGCAGGATCTTGCTGAGTCACAAGGTTGCCTGTTTTCTCTTGTGTGTCTCTGGAAGAGAGACCACAGGATTAGGTCTGTGGTAGGCACACTCTCATTCTAGAAGCCCAGCACAATGACCCTCCACTTTCCTCTGATTGCTTAAGAGTTCACAATCACTCTGCCCACAAAATCCAACACCTGTGAAATAATGCCAGGACAGCAGTAAACCAGAAGATTATCGTGGCTCTTGGTATCTCAGAGACCACCAACCTCATTCTTCCTCTCCCCCTAGCATTACAGTGAGCCACCCGGTGATCCACCTTCTGGAAGTCCATGACCTTCATCACCACCAGCTCTCACCAATTAAAACCTGACTTGCAACTGACCTTCCTGCTCTTGACACACTTCCTGGAAATATCCAGAAAGAGTGTGGTCCGGGCCAGCTCCTTCTGTGCAGAGATGCAACACCTGACACCCAGCTTGGGCAAGGGACTCGTTCACTCAAGGCCTCTGGGGCTGTGCAGCCCTTCTGAGCCCAGTCCCCTCTTCCTGTGAGTTTGTAGGTAACATCAGTATTGAGTTTCTGGGAGATGAAAACAAGTTTGGTAGGACCAAACTTGTAACTGTTATCACTTACTGGGAGTTTACAGGGTATTGATGCCTTATGAAGACAGAGGACCTGAGAATCTCAAGATGTTTTTCGCTCCTCTGTCCTGTGCAAATCACTTACATGATGACATTTCCCTTTGGGTCCAGGCTGCCATGAAACACCATTGAAATCTGTGGCTCAACAGTATAGGATATTAAAGCATGCACATCTCCATTCTCGCTTTCCCCTCGGGCTTGGTTTTTTACACAGATAGTATTTTCCTTAGGACTGATTTTTATAAATGAAAACAATTCAGTTAGTTCATGATGGGTTGCCTCAATGACTTTGTGGATTAGAGCAGACTATAAATAAGTCAAATTGTAAGGGAGGGCATTGCTAGTTGGAACCACTCTGAACGTGCTGGCATGTAACGAGACAAAGGGTTGAGTCAAATGCCCGGGCCATGCTGGGAGCGGGACAGGTGAGCAAGTTCTTTAGTTAACTCAGTGGCTCGTTCCAGGATCTCCTTCTCATACTAAGGGTTGGATGGGCCAAGGTAGCCTCTTACCTTCATCAATGGTTACATTCCCTCGGAAGAAATATTTCCCATGGCCTCTGGAGAGCGCCACACCTAAACTGTGCAGAGAAACAAAGCAGACCTTGAAATCCATGGCATTGACTGGAATAGACTTGTGGGCTACCTCTTTATTTTCCATTTTCATATTCCCATTTCATATTCTGTAAACAATTTTTCCAACAGTTTACTTTTAAAACCTCAGACTACAGTTGGTGTTGGTTTTTCTTAGGTTCAATCAGCTGCTTCAAAGTAATTTTCGATTGGACGTGCCAGAGCAATTGGCTGCTCTTGCCTGTTCTTCAAGGGTGTGGCAAATGGCTCGCCCTTCTAGCAAGCCCCCTCTTGGGCACCCTGCTAAAAGCCATATGCCCTGACTGCACTAGCTACTATCTCCTTGCCCTACATTCAGCCAGAGATGGGTCTTTTCCACCTCTAGAGCTTGGGGCTTGGGAAAATGAACCCCTTCTCCAGGGCAAAATGCAAACTTCCATCCTCACATACTCAGAAGTGCATAGTGGAATTCATACTCCCACTGGCGAGATTTAAACATCTTTCTGTTTTTGCCATAGGTAAGAGACTGTGCTTTAAAAACACATTTGGCAAACCTACTTTGCAGCCACGGTTCCCTCAAGTGCTCTGGTTCCAAATGGAATGCACCCATGATCCCTGCAGTTAGGTGAAAACAGCGCTACAATTCAGCTCTCAGATTAGTCTATAGTCACTCAATTCTGTCACTTTTTTAGCTCTGTGCAGCACCAGCCCCACTGGAATAACTTTAACAAAAAGGGGTTTTGGTTTTGTTTTTTTTTTTTCTCACACTATTTAAAAGCAGCGGGAGATGTTAGAAGGCCACATACACATCTGAAAGCAGGCAAAAGGCAAAGTCGTTGTTCAGGACTGGTACAAAGAGAAATAACAGGATTCAAAGGTACACAAGCACAGAAGGACAGTTCAGAAAAATTAAAACGGAAACACAACATGTATGGATGGAGATGCTACCTCCGAGTTTGAAGGATTATTTTTTTTTTTTTTTTGGTTTTGGATTTTGGTTTTTTGGTCATGGAGATAAAAGGTGAAATGGAACTCACTAGGAAGCAAGTTAGATGGTTAAGGACCCTGGCAACCCTCTGAACTCGTCTCTCCACCCTTAGTTGGAACCCCCAAAGCTTATTTGCTCAGTAATGAGATGCAAAGCCATGACAAACTGTGAGTTCTCCTACATGAGCCTGAACCATCTTCCCCCTTCTGGAAAACAGAAACAAAAGCAGCCTGGGAAAAGCCTCCTCCTCACTCTTTCCAGCCTTTCGGCAGGGTGCTTGGTTATCTTCACATGATGAGCTCTGAGAGTCAGCAGGTTTTGTACAAACACAACTGATGGTCTGATGGAATGTCCATGTATTATGGTCAGCTCTACCTGAAAGGAGTACCCTTGATGTCTGTATAATAGTAGTCATTTGTCATCACCAAAACCCGTTTCTAGATTGAAAAAAAAAAAAAGTCATAGAGAAAAGAAAACATGGTTAGTCTGCTAGGTGAAGTTTCCAGAAATAAATAAAAATAAATGGACACACTATGATCAGGTTAACAGTACTACATGAATCTTGTTTGAGATAAGTAAAGACAAGAGAAAAATGATCTCAGCGAAAGATATTTATTCCAGATAGAGCTTTCAAAGCTAATTTTTCACAGTGGTTTGTTTTAAATTAAGCGGCAAGAATGTTTGAGAAAAATGTACCCCTTTGTCCACTGTCTTCTTCACCTCCATGGAAAACTTCCCAGTCTTTCGATTCACCATGGCGTTTCTTAACTGAAATGATAAAAGAAAAGTGGTGTTACTTCTTCCATGGGTTATCATGTCCTCTGGGCACCTTGCATCCCACAGCCTGGGCACATTCAGTGCTGGCAAAAATCTGAGGGCTGACAGGGCAGGTCTTTTCCCCCTCGAAGTATGGGTGCTTTTCTGGGAAGTCTGCATATTGCACTCAGTCCTGTAAAAGAGAGCCTCTCAGGAATCAGCTTGCAGTGTCTGCTGTGCAAGGGGAGAGAGGCTAAGAAAAGTGAAGAAATAATGACTTTTAAATTCAAAATGGAGTGCTGATATAAACCCCACGTAAACAGGTACAAATGGCCATGACTAAAAGCCCTTGTGATGCTGATGAACCCCAAGTCAGAAAAGGAAGCCAGGCTGACCCCAAGGCAGCTTGCAACAGCACTACAGAAGCACCACATTTCCAGGGACTAAGTTCCCTTCTCCCAAGCTACAACATCAGTTTCTCACAGAGGAATCATTTTTCAAAACATAATCAAGAAGAAGACGCTTTCCTATACAGTAGTTTTTTTGTTTTGTTTTGCTGGTTATTGTTGTTCTTTAAAGGCCAATCATTTAGAAGACAGCGATTAATTCCTCATAACATGATTCATCTTCGAATGCTCTCCGAGAATTCCGGACCAATGAACGGCCTCACCGGCTGACAGGCGGTGGACAGGGCGAGCCTGTGTCTGATTTTCTGAGGTCCCACCTAGGAGCACTGAGCCCCCCTGCCTCCCCCACCCCTGACTGACCTCCTCTAATTAAGAGTGGCCCTTCCAGGAGTTCAGAGAAGGACAGCAGACGCAGTGATGAAAGATGTGCCGTTGTGGGCACCGACGGGAGATGACGGGAAGGCCATTTAATGGAGTAGGAGCAAATGCTGGTTTGCCACAGCCTGTCAGGAAGGCTTTCCCAGCCCCAAGACTTGTGTGTTTTTTTTTCTTCTTTTCTTTTCTTTCTTTCTTTTTTTTAATCCTTTCCCCTCTTTTCTTCTTTGAGGAGCTTGAATAAGATCTGGCGATAGAAAACTGCAATGCTTGCAAGCAACCTAAATTTGATTCGGGGCTGTCTAGATTTGGGTTCACATTCCCATCTTTTGTGAGAGAGAGTAAAAGCATAATTTTTAGCTGGAGGCATGTATAAAATAAAACATATATTTTACTCTAGATATTTTTTAACAACACATAATGGGCATTTCTGGAAATATTTTCCCATTTTAACTTTTGTGGTTTTGGATGGGGAGAGCTGGTCCTAATTAAGTCTACTTTCTAACTTTTAAGAACGGCTCGATTTATCTTTAACGTGGTTTTCATTTTTCCTCTTTCTGGTGCCTGCCTAAAGCCATTTGGGACCTTCCCCTCTCACATTCCCCAGGCAAGTCAGAGATTAGGTAAGTCTCTCCACGCCTGTGTGCCACCCCACCCCCAGTAGCTCTGAACAATGGACTTTGGGGGCCAGGAGAGGCCAAGGCCCAGGTCACTGAGATTTTCTTGAGGCACATGTTTGGACAGTTATCCAGTCTTCCTTTTTTCTTCAACGACGATGAAAATGGATGACACTGCATGAACATCAACTTATGAGGCAGGACAGCACCGTAGTTAAAGAAATAGACTTTGTCGGGGCTTTGTGATCTGAAACTAGTCATGTGCCCCTGTGCCTCAGTTTCCTTTTCTGCAAGATGGAATTAGTGACAGCACCCACCTCACAGAGTAGGATAATGAGTTACTGCTTAGAAGAGTGCCTGCACATTTTAAGTGTTCCCTAAAATATATGCTGTCATCATCACTGCCATCATCATCATCATCATCCTTACTTTCCAGTAATGTCAAATCCCTCTCAGTGGCTCAAATCAGGATTCAGCTTGAGTTTGCTTGACAACCATGGCCATACTCTAAATCAGTTTTTGAAATGTGTTTTGACTATGAGCTGCAGAAAAATTACACGATGATGACCTTTGATAGATCCTATTTTAATGGACTTTATTGCCATAAATTGCTGTTCTAGAATAAACAAAATAGATTTTGTGACCTCCCCTGATCTGACCTGACTCAATTCCTGGACTTTAAAAATATGCTGCTCGGATTGGCCCTCCCTGGTGGCGCAGGGGGTTAAAGCACAACACTGAGAATCTAAAGCCGCTTCCGCATGAGTTCGATTCCCGCCTGCCCTGGAGGTGACCACATGGCGTGGCAGACCTCTCCTGACCTGCCCGCTGCTCGCCTCAGCAGTGTACTTCGTCCATCTGCCTGTTCTGCTCCCCACTCTGTCTCTGGTGAAGCCTCTCACCACCCCTGAGCCTCTGGCCTGTACCCCAGTTCTGTATGCACAAATAAATAAATCTTAAAAAAAAAAAAATGCTGCTTGGAATCACCTGTGAATGGGAGCAGAATGAAAAAGAGGCAGCCCAAGGTACAAAGGGAACTCAGGATATCAAGGTTCAAGTTTAACTGATGACACAGAGCACTGTCCTATGATCTCTCCATGGCTCAATTTCTTCATCTTTCCTTCATTCCATCAAAGGTGTTCCTGAGTGAGGACTCCCAAGCCCCAGAGAGCCTGTCAGGTGCTGTATTAACTATGCAGACTAGATTCTTATGAAACTCGGACAACAATAACAGCCTGTTTATTAAAACCTTTTAAACCCTTTAAAACCCTCAATTCATCTTATGAAGTACCATTCTTTCTCCTATTTTGCAAGTGGGGAAACTGAGACACAAGGTTGCTAAACTTGCTCAAGGTCGCACAGATCCTCTGCCCTTTAGCCCATTTTATCACCTTAGCTCTTAAATCAGAAGAAAGCATTTAAACATATTCATATAAACATGTATAACGCCAATATAATATATTAGTATTCCTGTTTGTTTTTTTTAAATCAAAGTATTTTAAAATTTGACTGTGTAACAGCCTGAGGATTTCACTTCCCAGCTCTCCCACAAACATGAGGAACTGTGGTGGGGGTGCTGATGGGAAGGTGGTTTCCTGTCTTTATTGTCAGAAAAGTATGGGATTTGGGGCTTTTTCAATAGACTACCCAGAAAGAATTGAGCATTTTGAGTCTAGAAATATCACTTTTCCATCTGAGAAGACTGAGGCTCGAAAAGGGGAGACTTGCCCCAAATCCTGTAATATGTCTGCATTACTAGCAGTTAGTCAAAGCAGAGGAGAGAGTGGTGCAGAGGAACACTATCGCTCCCAGCCAGGGCTGGAAGGGGCCACTAACAGTGGTGTCCACATACACCTAGAACTTGCCACTGCCTGTATTTTAGCACTGAGCAACAATGATGCCCTGGCAGAGGACGACGTCCAATACATATCGGTGGGTTTATACGTTAGAATATTATACAGTCATTAAAAATCCAGGTATATGATGTTCAACTTATACTTAGCCAGATAAAGCCCAAATAAACATCAATGATATATTTTTACTTTCCCCTATCATACATCATACATTTGCAAATGTAATGATGCAGTGGACGTTAAAGCAGCTTTCACCACAATGTAGTTGATAAAATAAAGGTCAAACACTTTTAAGTTGAAAATGGGTATGTGATTGGGCTCCTTGGTCTCCTTGAACCTCACTGATCCCAAGAATCCTGTGCTTCCAGGTAGAATTGCTTCCCCAGATGCCCTGAAGCATCTGTCCCTCTTATCTGCACCCTAAAGCTGAAGCAGTGAACTGGCCAGTCGAAGCACCCCTTTATTAACAACATGTAACAGTAAGTGGCCACACTTTCTGTTCCACTGGGAGCCTACAGCTAGCGCCTCCTCCTGTGTCACAGCTCACTAAGGAAGCTTCCCCCCACAGACACATTGATCACCTTAAATTTTGAGTATAATGACAAAATTACAGTTTGTCCTCTTAATGGTGGTTTGCATTATCTACATCAGAAAACAAGCCTCACCTTTCCCGGTGCACAAACAGGCTGCACTTGCAGGCCCCTAATGACATGCAATCTTGGCCAGGCCAACAGATTAAAGGGGACAGATAAAGCAGTGATAAACAAGTCTGTGATTCCCAAGCAAACATTCAACCAGAATGTGAACCAGACTTGGCCAAGAGCCTCTCTCTCTCTCTCTCTCTCTCTCTCTCTCAACTTTGGTGGTTGGCGCTTGGTGGTTTAGGGACACAGTCTTAAGCATGAGCTGCAGTGACATTGGAGTGGGTGTAGGAAACAAATTATAAGCCCAAAGGCATGTGCCTTTGGATCAGAGGTTTATAGGACTTTGGGAAGAAAGGACTCAGAGGCAACTTTCCATCTGGGTCATCCCAGGTAAGAAGAAAGTGAGTTCACTTAGGGCAGCAGAAAAAGGATGACGGTAGCAACAGAAGGACTTCAGCTGGACTTGAGGCAGAATCCAACGAGACAACACTGACCACCCCACCGTGTGGCATGCAGATCTTTGCCAACCCTATGCATCTTCTCTGTGCCCCAGAGGGGAGGAAAACACATAATCGTGGGGCACTGAGAGACTCTTCAATGATGGAGAACTTTGAAGCCATGCTTGCACTGTGACAGCAATTCCCTGCTCAGTTTCCTCATCTGTAAAGTGAGGAACAACTACTTCGTAGGACTGATATGAGGAAACAGTATCCTGGCACACTACTGACATGCAGGAAGAACGCAACATGTGGTAGTTAATATAACTTACATTAGCATTTTTTTTTGGTTTGTTCAAATAAGTGTTTACTGCACAAACTTTGGGAATAACAAAAAGGTAGTAGATATATAATAAAAACCATCCTTAACTCGTTCTGCCCTCTCTGGGAATTGATAATCCAAGGATAAACACTATTTCAAAGATAGTTTTCTCCCTAAGAAGTGATGATTAGGAGATCATCTCCTAAGAGACGGTGGTTCAGGCTGTGCTATGCATGACTTTTGCTTCCTTCCTGGCTCGTGAGCCCTCCGTAGCTCCGTCCTCCTCACTGTGTTGTTGACATCATGCCTAAATCATCCTGCAGCAGTCCCATTCATCTTCGAAATGATTCCTAATTTCCCACTTTTTTCCTTAGTTTAATTTTAACTAGTATATTTTGCAAGTGTTTTAATAGTACAGGCAGCCTCATGTCTTTTTTTTTTTGGAAGCACAGAGCTTACAGGGCTTGTTATGAATGAGGTCCTCAAACTAAGAAGCCCAGCTGCTGAGATAGGCTCTCTCCAAAGAAATTCTCTGCAGTGGGGCAGACATGTGCAGCTCGCCTCAGGGGCTTCTGCTTGTGCTGTCTTTCCCAGGTCTTGACCTAAAGGCTGCCTTCTGCTACCTTCCTGCAAACCTCCACAATGGGTATGTGGATGTGTGGAATCTTATGTAGACTTCTCAAAGATTCTGTATAGATTACAGAATTATCCAATCAATGAAGCTCAAATCCCTAGAGAAACAGTGAGATGAATTATCTCAATCAACAGTATTGATCATGAAGGAATTCAGTTTTTCAAATGCATCATGGCTCCCAAGGTGGTAAGACAGAGACCCAACTCAAGAGGCAAACAGAAGGAAGTCTGTGTAGAAGCAGAGCTTCAAAGCTGCTGGAGATGTGGGTGTTCTGAACATGGACATCCAGAAACCAGTAATGTAAGTGGGATAGAGGTGAAGAACATATGCACGGGGCTGGAGATTTGATATGCTGTCTGTCACTCTGATGAGAAAAGATGAGGCAAGGGCATAAACAGCATTTTCCAAGCCATCATTAGCAAAAGGAGATATTGGCTCACTGCCGATTAACAGAGGCCCAGGTGATGATTAGTGTGAGCTGGGAAATAAATCTCTTCAACTAACACACAAAAGAGAAGCGGGTGTCCACTCAGCACTAAGTAGCAGAGGCCATGCTTCCAGACCATGGGACTCTGAAGTCAGGAGGGGCATAATCAAGTTTGCCTTCCATATTAATTAAAGTGGAAATGGCAAAGGGATGGAGACCCATGTTGACAACAAGGTTCACGTCTTCTGGGAAAGAAAACAAAAGGGCCAGGAAAGTCAAAATAAAGTAACAGATGAAGTGAAAATTGAAGTAAAGCAAAAAACCATGGAACACATCTCTTGAAGATTCATGAGACAATTTAGCAACTGTTGAAGTTATGGGCCATTCATTAATGAGAAGGTTGCCTGAGGATTGACGATGATGAGTAATAACCATAAGAGCCAGCGCTCACCGAATGCTCACCATCTCCAAACCATGCAAGCACTTTTTTTTATCTTTCAGTAGATTAACATAATTAATATTCACATTACCCTTATGAGGTCAGAACTATTAATATCACACTCAGTTTATTGGGGAAATAAAAGAACAAAAAAACAAAACTGAAGTGCAGAGAGGATAGCTGTTTGCTTGAGGACTAGTAGCAGCAAATAATAGAGGGGGATCTGAACACAATCAGTCTGAGGACCGACTTGCCCACCTCAAACCCACACAGCCTGTTTCCTGGGGTGAACAAGTTGGAAAGGAGGAGATGTGTTTTGGCTACACTGCAACAAAGGGGACTTGCTCTTAGTCCTGAAAACACTGCTTAAAGAACAAAAGATAAAATGCTACTGGTGACTGAGCTGACAAAATTTTAAGCCATGGGCATGTCAGGAGAGAGTGGGAGTCACTTTCTATCAAACCAAGTTATTAGATTGAACTTGGGTTTAAAAAGACAGCGCAGGAAATAGGTTAAATTTATAAAACAGATACAACTTTTGCATTTTATAGGCAAGGGAGAAAATCAGAGATTTATGCTAGCTAGCTGAGACATCCAGGGAGCAGAGGATGTGAAGCGAGAAAAAGCCACCACAAGAGGACTATGACATGGACCATATTTCTGGAAGCATAGAATCAGGCTAAACTTTTCAAATGGCTCCCCTCAACATCCCTTAGGAAAGTGGGACAGTGAAGAATGGAAACAATGCTGACTCAACCAAGGGACTTCAGGAAGGCCTTCAGACAAAGAGAGAGACTGAGGACACAGAAATGTGGCCATGACACAGAGAAACCACAGAAAAAGTGAAGAGGCAGGATCCAGAGGGGAACACCTGGGAAGTTACGATTTAATTAAGGACAGTCTGCCTGGATTCACACAAAGGCAGCCGTGTCTAGCAAATCTGATTTATTGAGGAAGTAACAAGAAGACTGACGGGGTTAAATTGTGGGCATAAGGAAAGCTTTTGATACAGTACCAAAGGCTGAATCTGTGCAGGAAATAAGCATGTGAGCTATTGCAGTGTGGCCAGAGAAGAGGAAAAGGCTGGGGTGGCCCAGAGAAGGGAGCCTACAAGCAGGAGGAAAGTGGGTCTGTAAAGCTTGAGGCTGCTCTCTGAAGTCCGCGCTGTCCTGCCGGGTGGATCTCGGTCCAGAGGACAGCCAGCAAGACTCCTGCTCCTGTCTGGGCTCCCAAGAGCTGAGGTGCCACCAGCTGCACTAAGGATTCTGCATTGATCTGTTGCTCTGCTGAAGGGACCCGAGCCCACAGGGGACGGTTTCAGCAGACCTCACAGGGCACATGGTATGACTGGCTTGTCTACAAGCCCAACCAGGGGGGAGTTATATAAAGCGCCAAATGTGATAAAGGGGCCCATTGTCTCCCCATCCCTCCAGTGGCCTCTGGTGGGCTTCTTGACCAGCGCCTGGGCAGTCTTCAGACATGGAGCCAGTGCAGCCCCCATCACTTACCACATCATCTCGGTCTTCCCACTCCACCTCAGAGAGGTCAACACTACTGTAGTTAGGTTTCCTTCGCTTCTTTCCTTCTTCATACTAGCAGAAGGAAAAAAAAAAAAAGAAAAGAAAATGTTTCCATGAGATCATCCAAGGCAAGCCTTTATCTTCTCAAGTTCTGTTTCAAGATGGAGACCACGTGTGGGCAGATATTGGCTATAAGTCCAGCCGGGCAGCCTTTCTAGACGTTTTAATGGGTTTAAAGTCAAGGCCAGATGCCTGTAAACATTTACTCTTGAGCTGGGGAATGTACAGCCAACTCCTCGTTTGATATGAATTGACCTAGTGGACTCCTTAGTTTTCTATATGCCAGATGCAAAGCACATCTTGTTTCTTTCTCATATGGTATATGTGTAGAGTGGGATAGAATCTTCTCTACTCCAAAGCTCTAATGACTCACCGCTCCCTGACCCAAGAAAGGGTCATGTTCACCAAGAATCCAGTCATAGCCCACCTCTCTGCTCACTAGTTCTCCCACGCTGGTCTCCTGTCTCAAATCTAGCCCATTCTCCTTGGCTAGGGAACAAGAGCATGGAGCTCCACGGTTGGCTTCAATCTCCTGGTAACATTTTGCAGACACAGAGCCTTTTCCTTGTTAGCCTACTGGCCATGGCAGAACTGAGCTATGTGATCATTTTTACCTGGAGTAGATGTGGGCACTGGGAATCACTGCCAGATTTAGTAGCCATTAGGGCATTTCTCTGGAAAAGCTGATGAGTGCATTAATAACTGGGGAAGTGGGTTTACTTTTTCCTCCTAAATCACTGGTGTTAGTCAGCCAGATAAATTGCCTACTATTTTATCTACCGGACGGTGTCTGGACTTTCATGTGTCTTGGGCCTTTAAAAGTTGGTTGTTGGGATGTTTATAATGTGGAAAAGTCTGCCCTCTACTGCAGGCTAAGCATATGCAACCCCCTTACAAGTTCTAAGATATGGTTAATGGAACTTTGGGGAAAAATATACATGTGGATAGCATTTTTTCCTTTGGTTTCTAAGGCACTTATCTTTCAATTTACCTGCTGAGACAGTGTCACCCTAAGGGCTGCGAGAACTCAAAGCCACGGTTACCATTTTGGACCCTGTGTGACTACAACGGAGTAGCACTGGCTACGGCCAACCAGTGCTGAGCACACTGGCAGTGAAGACTATCACCACCAGGGAACCAAGCAGGCCTCAAAGGGTCCCCCATGGGTTCCAGCGAAGAGGGACCACACAAGGCAGATCTCCATTTGTGGCAGACTGAGCAGACCAAGTGTTCCTCCAGCCCTCTCCTCTCCACTCTGGCTGCTCTCAAGGACTCCCAGACTCTTGACATGCTCCACGCCTACCCAGGGAAGGCTGCTTGCCTCACGTGGGCACTGGGCTTGACTGCCTTGGTCAACGGTGCTTCCACTCATTTCTCTCATGTTTCCAAATAACACTCATTCATGGTCAGTTTTATGACATCAGATCCACTCCAGATGAAGAGGAAGGGAAGTTATTCCCCCAGAAGCTGCTCTAAATGATAGCAGACCTGCAGTTGGATGCTATTATGGAAAGTTCCTGTGTGAGTGGAAGCTCCAGCCCTTGAGAGAACCAGGCTGGTGCTGATCAGGCAGCACAGGAACCAGGCCTGTGGGGCTGCCACCCAGATCTTGCAGAGAGAAGGTGTGATGAGGGAGGGGTGCACAATGCTAAGATTCGGTTTGGGTCCCTGAGAAGCTAGAGTCACATATTCTTGGGCCCCCATGACCTATTCCAACATACTCCCAAGTCCCATTTTAGTATCATTACAGAGACACTCACCTTCTGACCTGAACAGATAGAACTTTCCAAATTTCTCGCCTATCCTAATGCTAGGTCTAAACCATCTTGGAGGTGGGGGTTGGAGGAGTTCTTTAGCCACTTCAAACAGATTCTTAATTCACTTTTCTTTTTCTTTTTTTCTTTTTTTAAATTTACACATATAGTACTGGGGTACAGACCAGCAGTGCAGGGGTGGTGAGCAGATTTACCTGAGACAGAGTAGGGAGCAGAACAGACAGATCGACAAAATAGACTGCAGAGAGGAGCAGCTGGTAAGACAGGAGAGGTCTGCTGAGCCATGTGGATCACCTCTGGGGCTAGGGATTGAACTCACACTCAAGTGGCTGAGGTTAGCTTGCAGTGCTGCACCCTAACCCGACGTTCCACCAGGGAGGGCCTCTTTATTTATTTTTCAACATATATTAATCAGACAGATACCTAGTAAGTGCAAGCTACCAAGAATCTAAAGTCAATTACATAATACTTCATTCTTTTCCAAGTACTTGTTTGAAGTTTATTGCTCTTATTTCTGCTTCCATAAGACCAATTTATTGTTCTTCATGTGTATGGGAAAATGGGCTCTAAACACAAATAGAAAAATAAATAAGATCATACAGCCAGTAAGGGGGTAGACACCCCATCTATTACAAATCTCTGACCAAACTTTCATATCTAAGCCTCATATCATTCCAATCACTGCAAAGGATTAGAATGGTCCAGAGCACCAAGTGTTTCTGCAACCTCAGGAAGAGTGCCCACCTACATTGGTTAAAAGAAGAGAGCACAGTGGTCCTGCTACATACTAGGCTTGTGACCTTGAACAAGGCACCCAGCAGCTCCAAATGTCCTTTTCTCAGCTGCAAAATGGGAAAAACCACTATATATTCATAGTAAAGTTTAGTTGAGAGGAGTAACTACATAAGTATATAGAATGGCAAGAATCAGACAGCATAGGATAAATCCTTAATACATAGCTAGTATGGCTCCCGAGAGGTGTCATCTGCTTGGTGAAGACACAGGTTTGTCATACACAGTTGGGAATATTTCATTTCCTTGAAATGAAGGTGACCCATTTAGTAACTTTCCAGGTCATTGCTCGACAAATTATGGGCAGGCAGGAAATGTTTGTTAAAGATAATTCTGGTGGTACCTTATACACCAAGAGTTTTGTCCTTAGTACCAACTTGGGACTCAAGATTCTCCTGCCAGAGAGATACATCCATGTGCCTAAGAACCAAAGTCCTTTTAGATGGTATCTGGCAAAAGTGGAACTCCTAAAGACCCCTTAGATCACTACTTAACATTCTTGGATGTATTTCTTCATTGAAAAAAAAAAAAAATCTGGCCATCCCTCCCTGGTGGTGCAGCAGCAGGTTAAAACACAACACTAAGAAGCTAAAGCCACTTCATCATGAGTTTGATCCCCTTCCCCAGAGGTGATTCACATGGTGTAGCAGACCTCTCCTGACCTGTCCGCTGCTCCCCTCAGCAGTGTACTTTGTCAGTCAGCCTGTTCTGCTCCTCATTGTCTCTAGTGAATCTTCTCACCGCCCCTGCACCTCTGGCCTGTACCCCAGTTCTGTAATGCATAAATAAATAAATCTTTTAAAAAAATAAATCCCTGGAGAATGCATCAGATTATTGGTATTTAAACCATTCGAAGTGATCAGAGAAGGAGAGAAAGAACGTGTCTCAGTGAACTGGACGATGAGCTACCACATTCCATATCACAGCATATTCCTGTAATTTTATTTTATTGAAAGAAACTAATGGGGCTATGCCTGAGACAGTTACACTCCTGGATGCTTCATGTGCCAATCTCTCCTCCCTGTCCTTTTTCAAGACTGTCATAAAGCCAACTTGGGTTCCAGGCATAAGCAATCAACAGAGTTCCAGTGTGTACTGATCTACTGCTTTCATTTTTGCCTTTTAAGTGGATACTTCCAACATATAGTTCCAGTGAAATGTTTGCAAATGCTGGGGCTTAGCGATGATTTAAGAATATGTGCTTTGCAAAACACCTCCTTGCTAATCCAAGTTGATGACTGCATACAGTGTGCTGGTCTCCTATACCTGCCGCCCTGGAGAGGACAAACATGAGGTCACAGCGTGGGAGAGTGTCAGGAAAAGACATACACTCTTGCATCTCAGACTCCAAGGTCGGATTTCCCCTCTCCCATGGGATTCGGCCTGGGACAAACCCCAGGTCTCCCAGCTCTCTCCCTCTTCCCCTACGTGAGGATCTCGTTACTGGGCTGAGGCATCGTATATGGCATTTGTTAGTGTATCTATAATCTGTAACTTCCTTTGAAAATGTGATTAACGAATTGCAAACGGTTTCCAAAGGTTTATAAACAGATACTTTAAGAGCCACAGGTAGGTTTGTAGTTTTTGGTGCCTGTTTTATGAAAAAAATATGTGCGGGAGAATTTAATAAGGAAAGATATTCTCTGCTATGAAATACTTTGAGGTGGAGTTTCAAATAAAGGCCAGATGTGAACACACAATCCAGCCTGTGGCCTAGGAGGATGGGACCAGGAGGGCACCCATGTAGGAGCAAGCGGGACCCAAGCAGCGGAACACTACAATGCCAACCTTCCCAGCCACACATAATTGTCTCCATCTAAGTGCTCTTTTTCCTCACAGACTGGCTTTGGAAACCTATGGAGGGGCGAAGGTAATGGCCACATTCACCCTGGCTTGTAAAAACCCAAAACAGCTTCTCTTTTTCTGTGTTCTTTTGGAAAGATCCAGAGGAAATCAGCTACATGTATCCATGCAGCCTCTGTGAAGCGTATTTTGTGTGTGCTAATGACTGATAAACTCTGCTATTCCAAGCCGCCAACAGGAAGGAAGGACATGGGATTAGGAGGCCCACACCGAGGAAGGAAGAAATCTTGCCCAAAGCTAATGCCATCTGGAGAGAGGCATGGCCACGGCCGGAAGCCAGCTATTGTTGGGGCAGATGTTTCTCTCCTGAGCAGCCAGGCACTTTGCCTCACATTCCTTCACCTTCACTGCCTCCTCCAAGGCACAGCATCTCCTCTTGTCTCAGAGGTCAGAGTGGCAGTTTTGGGAGAAGGAAAGGTGGCAGGTCTTCTCCCCTCCACATGCAAGAGAACAAAGTGCTAACTGTGGGTGTACAGGCTCCTTTCATGTTAGACAAGAGCAGGACACTTGATGGCCTTGGGCAATGGGTCTACATCACGAGCCATGACCAGGAAAAGTGGGGCTGAGGGCACCGACTGACAT